CCAGTCCTATTTTGTATTTTATTTAGAGACAGGGTCTCACTGAGTTGCTTAGCACCTCACTGCTGCTGAAGCTAGCTTTGAACTCTAGATCTTTCTGTCTCAGTATCCCAACCAGCTGGAGTTACAGGCATGCGCCACTGTGCCTGGCCTCTGCAAACTATTGCTAAAACATCTTTCCTTACTCTGGCCTTTCCTGTGAACATATAAAAATATGCCATGGAATCACATTTTGAAGAGTGAAACAAAGCTGTCCAATCTGCATTAATAGCTAATATCTTAAAGTGTCTTAACATAAAGCCCCAACTCTGTGCACACTGTTAGTACTCACAGAATACAGGAGAGTAACACTGAAGTACTGTATGATGCTGTACAATGCCATAAATTTAAACACACAGAAGGAAGTCATTAAAGCAGCACGGCCTTCCCTGTGAAGAGAAAGGTCAGCATGTAAATAAGTGCATTTTAAGCTCCTCCTCCAAAACACAACTGTATCTTGACAGATGAACAACATTTGACAGCTACAACAAAGCATCTGTCTACCAAAAAAACCTAATCGAAAGGAGAATTGAAACAAATGAGTAGTAGCAATCTGTTAACTAATAAACTACAAATAACTAATAAATTACAGATCAAATGTGCTATTTTTAAAAAATTGGCATTACTTTTAATCATAATCTGCCCTTTTTTATCAGTAGTACAAAATACAAAAAATTTTCGGTTTTTATTACCTTATAAGGTTTGGCACACAGGAAATACTAGGAGTTTTAGAGGTAAACGGAGATGCCACCGAAGCCTCAAGCTCTGATAAGGAAATGCCTCCATGTGCCCTCTTCAAAGCCTAATGGTTTTAAGAAAACTGGTAAGTTTTATGAATGTAATTTAGGCTACAGCAAGAACTACAAAAGTAAATCAGAAAATCTATACTTACACCACAATCATTTGCACCATCACCACACATCCCAACAAAGTAACTAAGAAAGAAAACAATTTTATGATTTTAATTTCTTAAAATAGAGTGTTTAACTTAATAAGATTTCTCTAATACAGAATTATGAAAAGCTAACAGACTAAGAGATTTCTGGGATGAAACTAATGAATCTTTTCATTACAGTGAACATGGGCACAATGCTTTGCCAGTAGAATTGGCCTGAAAGTGAAAGGACCTGGGATACAGATTTGTTTGTCATAAAATGAGCTAATATCTCCATTTGCTCATCTTTAGAGCAAAATACTTGTGCCTATATATTCTATATAGGCTACCATTTTTCCTTAAAAAATTAAAACAATTGTTCACTAAAATTAAAAAGATAGAGCACCTGAATGAATGAATGAATGAACTCTACCTAGATATTACCCAGAGAGGAAGGGTAGATACTATACTTTTAGTGAAACAAATGAGCATGAATCTTTCTTAAAAGTTCTTACCACCTGTATTACAGGTGACATTTATTTATTTGCATGTAAGTACATACACATACAAAGGTTGAATATACCTTATCTGAAATGCTTGGGATAAGAAGTGTTTCAGATTTCAAGGTTTTTCAGATTTTGGTATATCTGCTTAGATTATTTTAACAGTTGAGCATTCCTCATCTGAAAACACAAAATCTGAGATGTTCCAAATTTTACTGAACCCTCAAAAAGCATTTCAGTTTTGAAGTTTTGGATTAAAAATGCTGAACCTGTTTTGTAATAAACATTATTGAAAAAAACCAAAAACCCACAAGTACCATTTTAAAAATTCCAAAACATAAAATCCACCAATACTTACTCTACATTTTGCAATGCTTCTACCAATTGTGTCTTCTGATCAGGTGCCATACGTGCAAACACAGTGCCATGCAACATCAACTGGAAAAAATTAAAATTTATTAAAAATATTGTTCACAATATAATCATGAACATGTCCATAAACTTCTATCACTTACCTTAGGAACAAGGTCTTGAAAATGCTCCAATATCACTGAAAATGATTTTCCATTCATTGCAAAATGATAACGAGTCAATTGAAGATCTTCTAAGCTATCATGAACCAACTTAATTGGAATAGCCTGTATATGAAACATCCAGAACAATACTTAGACAGCCAAACCAAATAACATAATCTTATGTTAAATGTAATTCCTCCAAAACTAAATTATTCCATATATTTCATTTAAGATACTAAGACTTTAACATTTACTCAAAGAAAAGAAAAATGAGATTCCTCAGTCCTAATGAATCTTTGGGAAGTTAGTTGAGGTTTCTGTTTTCATTTAGATTTTGTTTGTTATTGTTGTTCTGTTTTGTTTTAATACACCATTTTTCTTTTTCCAGACTAAATTCAAATAAGCAAGTTTTCAAAGAGAATTTTGACATTACCTCAGAGTCAATTGCTGATGAATTACCGCACTGTGTTAGTGAGTCCGCATAATGCCAATTTATCTTGGCAACTTTCCCATCCTTTGGAGGTAATGCTTCAGCAATAATAACTTTATCTTGAGGTAGAATCATTCCACAGTCTCTGGCCACAGAGACAGCAGTCAACATGTTGTCACCTATTTTTCGAAATATTTTCAATGTATTAAGATTAAAATTACAACATGAATGTGTATCAAACAAGTATTTTCTGAGAATCAAATCGAGTCGCTATGACTGGGCTGGGAAGAATGAGGATTACATCCTTGATCCTTGGGAGTCTTTTATTTATTTATTTTTAATTTTGACACAGGTCTGGCTAAATTGCTGAGGGACTCATTAACTTTCTGAGGCTGGCCTTGAATTTGCAATCCTTCTGTTTTAGCCTCTAGAATTGTTGGGATTATAGACATGTGCCACTGTGCCCAGCTATCCTTGGAAATTTTAAAATAAGCAAATCAATAGGCACACTTATTAAGGAAGCCTCAAATGATGCAAAGTACATATATGCTAAAATCTTACAACTTCTAAATACAAATACAATCTTTTCCAGACACTATTTGTGTCCCATAACAAACAACACAGTGCAAAATATACAACAGATGCACAATAAACACTGAAATATCCTAGGAGGAAGAATACTAGGGTGGTATCACAGAAAAAGATAAGATAGAAAATCAAGATTACACAAAACAAAAAGTTAAGACAGGTAATAGGAATAGAATGTAATAAGAAGTAAAAAAGAACTTCTCCGTCATGAGAAAGAAAGAAAGAACTGAAGAGAAGCAAGGACAGGAGAAGTAGGCGAAGGTTTGGGGATCCCACTGCTACCAGAACTGAAGAGTTAAATATCTTTCTCCATTTCCTATAGACTACTTCCTAGAGTATCTTCCTGTGGCCCTTGAGAAATAGTCACATTCTGTCATGGCGAAGGAGAAGAAGACACAGATGTAAAGTGCCTTGAAGGAGACATTAGAATTAAGAATTTTCAGAACACGGATAGATTTAGTTATCTTAAGCCATGCAGTAAGAAGTATGCTATTAGATCTTGGGAGTTAAAGACAAAAATGTACTCAGGTTTTTTCTCAAAAAGTCTTACTGATCACACAAATGCCAAAAAATAAGGTAATTTAAACCTGATTATTTACTATGAAAAGTGCTGGCACAATTTCACACAGCTAAAGAATAGAAATTATGTAACATTTTCAACAGTATAAAAACACCAAAGAAAATCAAATATTGTGTCAAAAAAGCAAAATGAACCTCGAAAGTCATTATGAATTCAAGTAAGGATAATATTTTATATATGTGCACACACACCTATGTATATAAATCTAATTCTAACAAGTATCTATTAATAATTTTCTATATACCTTGCAGGTCTGAAAATTGTAAAGGAGCTCAAAATGGATAAAACGTGCTCTTAATTCTCAATAATTTCATATTCTAGAGAAAGTAACTAATTAACAAACTAATTTACAAGTAACTAATATACAGCAAGGTATGTTACGTGCTATACAAATATATGATTTAAAGAAATAATAAAAAGGAAAGTTGAAAATTTTATAGTTTTCTTCATTATTTTATCATACTTTTTATAAACAGAATTTGCAAGACCTCAAGAAGAGTACTCCAAGATTATCTTAAACCTTGGAAAGATATTCAGAGCTGAAGCAGGACAATGTAGGATGGAGCCACTACATGATATACTTTAATAACTGACTTATCATTCCTCAGTATTACATAACTTGGACTTTATAGCCACATTCAATTTTCTTCTGTGTTCTTTTACAAAGTCTAACCTGTGACCATGACAGTGCGAATGTTGGCTTTATGCAAATCTTCAAGTACTGCAGGGGTTTCTTGCTTTAATTTGTTCTGCATTATAATTAATCCCATAAAATCCATGTTGTTTTCAATGGCATCTCTGCAGGAAAAAAAAGTGTTAACACATAATGGTTTAGTCAAGAGAACAATGTTGTTCTCTTTATGTTGATAAAACATTTTAAAATCTATAAATTATAAAGTAAAACATTTTATATGCTGAATAAATCATGTGTGCATCTAAGTTCAATATTTCAAAAAAAGTTAAACCTGGAAAACAATTTCCAAGAACTATACTTTTGAAATATTGAAATAAAATTCCACACTTTGAAACATGAAAAACAAGGAACATTTGGAAATCTATCTTTGTGAAACAATAATCTATTCTAGCACTAGGAATACTAGTCTAGGAATGTTCATTTTATATCCTATCCAAATATAAGCATAAATATATTCTTTACTGTCCTTCATAAAATATAACCTAATTTAAATGTCAAGAGAAAAAGGGAAAAAACCTGTACCACAAGCACATTTGATATTATTTTCATTATTATGTCTCAATACTATAAAATTTCTAAGAAATAGAGTTCTTAATCCTAGAAAATTTAAGAACCATTAGAAGTACAACAATGAGATCTATTCAAGATCCAGAGATGAGCCTTTGAGAATACTGATAAATTATCAAGATGCTAGTCTTCAAATAGCTGAATGCACCAGCACTATGCTAGTCACCACTATGCCAATCACTGGGAGGTGAAAGACAAAAAGGCATAAATAATGACTACTTTTAAGACACTTAGTGAGGGAAATGACATGTAACTAGAGAAATATGTAAAAATAATGTGTACTTCAGAGTTATAATGAAGAAGAAGTCTGTTCAATGACAGTCACATTCTCAAGAAATTTCATCTTACCAAAATCATACCATAGAAATGTTTTTCAATAGGGAAAGGGGACTTAAAGTTAGCAACTAGAATTTCAGACTTGCAATTAGCTAAGTAATTTGTCTACATAAAAATTCAATAGTAAAGGAGCTGAGTATACACTTATGCAACCTAAATGCTATATCAATAAACAGTAAAGATATTAAAGAACAGATAGAAAACAAAGTGAAAGACACTCTATAGTAAAGGAAGGAGAAAAAGCTTTGAAGCCTGATATTGTCTTAAGTATGAAGTTGTACCAATGTGAAACTATTGGGTCAACAGTACCAGGTTTCCTATAAGGTTCTATTTCCTGGCTTCAATTGGTTTCCTAACTCACCTGTGAATAATACAAGTTAAGGAAATCATGACCTCTAATAGACTGTACTGTTCAAGATATAAAAGATTAAGCTATGAGAAAGGCTTATTTCTGTAAGGCAGAAGGCAAAAACAGAGGTCGTGGTGACTAAATGATGAAGAATAAAGGAAATAGAAAGAGACAGTTGATAGGGAGGGATAGAACATTCTGGGCAAAAGAAACAACAGGCTTGGAAGGCTCTGTGAAACATGAAAAACTAGAGAACTACAGCTAATTCACCAATTAATCTTTAAGAGGAAAACAGCAAAAGGTGAAGTAATAAAGAAAAAAAAAGAGACAAACGTGCCCTTTGCAGGAATTAGGAGGTATAATACATCTGTGGTTCCTGCCCATACATGCGCATCAGATCACTAAGTAGAAGTTGTTTTGTTTAAAAACACATGCTTAGAATACCCCCAAATACATGGAATTACCAGGAAAACCAACATATGCTTAGAATACCCCCAAATATACAGATTACCAGGACAACCAATGAACATTTCTTTCTGTTTGCAAAATATTAGGCACACCATAAGGTTCCTAAACAAAAACTCTATCTTCAAGGGGTAGGTCTTAACCAGTTATAATAAAAGTAACAATTCTTTTTTTTTTTTTTTTGGGGGGGGTATTAAACATTGAACCCAGGGGTGCTTACCCTCTGAGCCACATCCCCAGCCCTTTTTATTTATTGAGACAGAGTCACTAAGTTGCTTAGGGCCTCCCCAAGTTGCTGTGGCTGGCATTGAACTTGTAATCCTCCTGCCTCAGCCTCCTAAGTCACTAGGATTAAAGGCATGTGACACTGCTCATGGTCAAAAAGCAGCAATTCTTGAATGTGAAACCCATATTTATATATAGAAATAAATGTGATGTTGGTAAAGCCATTTGACCAAAGGCAGAGATAAATGGGGTGGAGGAACGGTATTGGGTACTGTGACTCATGACACTTTTTACCAAATTAGTGTTTAGATCCAAACACTAGGCAAAACAAGATCATCTGGTAAGAAAAAACTTCTGTAGAATTGCTCAATGTTTCAAGAACATGCCTAACACACAGTAAACACTTGATACTTAACAAATTTAAAGTAGTTTCAATCATTTTTAAAGAAAAACATACAATGTTATAATAGTATAGGCAAAAAGTCAATATTAAATAAAAAGGAAATTAGAGGCTGGGATTGTGGCTC